TTCCATTCCATCCAATGAGCTTTTTAAGTCACATTTTATGTTATATTTGTCGTAAAGAGTAGTTAGATTCTCTTCCTGTCGTTTGTCAGTTACGTTACTTGCGTTAGTGACATGTTACGATCTATCAAGCTGAATTTATCAGACAAGAATGGATTGCAACACTGAGCACTTCACAAATTTCTACCCCAACCTTCATCATTGTGCCAGGTCATGCGGGTGTTCAAGGAAACGAGCGTGCAGACTATCTTGCTGACACTGCGGTTGCTATGGCTGGTCCAGTACTGGACAGAAGTAATGTTATCAATGCCGTGCGCTGCACTTACCGTACCGAGGAGCACACCAAAGGAAATGACTCCGTATCCCTGTCTAGACAGATGGACATGGGGGTGCAGCCTGGAGCTGCAAGAAATGAACATTTCACTAAGGGGACAAGACGTTTCATTACCCAACACAGAACAGGCGTCATCAGTCGTTTTACACTTGTGGAGCTTTATAGGAGGAGATCGGAGCACCTGTGAATCTGTCCGGAGTGCTGTGACGATAATCCTTTCTAATCCCTAATAACTAATCAATAATCACTAATCACTAATTACATGTTGCGAACATGTAAAGATCTCTTTTTCACGTCTTCAGTCTTATTGGGCATGTAGTACTATCTATATTTTATAAACCAATCGGCACTCGGTGGGTGATGTGGTAAATATCACCCAGGCCCCTTTACTTCTCAGGACTTTACCTGGTACCTATTTAAAGCTAGGTCCACCTGTAAACCAGTGTCATGTTTGTACCCGGCTGCGTTCGTATTTGAACCAACGACCTTCAGATCCGTGCTTCTAGCCACTATACCACGGCAACTGCCTTTGCTTTGCGTTTCTGCAGTGACTCTTTTTCTCCCGCCACCCATGTCTATATTGATCGGCCTCTTGCCTTTTAGCCACATTTTTTCCAGTGGTACGCTCTAGAAGCTGGCTGATTCTGTTCTAGATGACCAGGTGGCTAAATCATTTTATTCTTTGATTCTATGAAATCATTTACCGGTCATAGTTCTGAGTACTTCGTTGTTGCCTTTGTCTCTTCTTGTTTTTTTCCCTGCCTCATATCTTATGCAGATGTGATTTCAGCCGATATAAAATGTAAAGGCCCTGTATTCTTGACATGAGGTATAGTGAGCACGCGGTTCTGGAACTTTAGTTTCAAGATATATTGATAATAAATGGGGCATGTGGTCAGTGGCATGTTGATCGCCTCTCCTTTCATGAAATCCCTCGATTCAATTCTCGTCTGATGACTCACCGGCTATGTCCGAGAAGGACGAGTATTGACTTTTCGGGGGAATGTCAAACAAAAATGCCCGGCCCCCCCCCCCCCCCCCCCCCAAAAAAAAAAAAAAAAAAAAAAAAAAAAAAAAAAAAAAAACGAATATTTGGATGGACGAATATTAGAGTTTCACTGTATTATGTTTAGTGAACATGTATCTATTAGCAATAACTTACCAGCAACTGACGGAGCTCTTGAATCCTGAACACACTGTCCATTCAAACAAAGCTGTGGATGATGATATGGTAATAATGTCATCTACATTTCAGCGGGGTGGACAGATGTCTTTCTACATAGACTGGTATGGTTTTACTGGAGAGTACAGAGTGGTTTACTGACGGTAGTTGTAGAGCGTTGCTAATGCGCTTTGTAATTCTGAAATGATCCTGTCGATCAGCTGCAGACAATCTTGTAGCAAACCGCTTGGGTGGACTTCTGCAATAGTATGGGAGCGGATCTTTCACAGCGCAATAGCAAACATTTTCAGCTTTGTCTTCTTCGCGTTCACCAGCTGTAAATTTTGGTGGAAAGTTCTGGGTGTTCATCCACTTCTGGACTGCAGCCCTGTTTCAGAACTTGAGTATTGCGTGCGCATCCGTTTTACAGATCTGACTCGTCTGTCTGCAGACTGTCGGCTGCGTGTCCCTCAGGCAGATGCACTCCGACTTCGGATGAAGCTTGCAATTAGTTGACTCTTACAATATGCTTTTATAGCAAACTACTGAACGTAAATGTGTCTAGCAAACCCACAAAATGGTCAACAAATGATGGGTTAGCTTTCCAGCGTCCTGTAACGAATATGCAATTGTGTTTGTCTGTTAAAAAGTTCCTACACTCGAGTTTTAACATGTTTAAAGTTTAAAATCAAAAGAATCGATTGCACTTTTTTTCATGTTTTATTAAACAAGGCTCCGTCTTTTTTATAAGAATGACTAGCCTTCTTATGTAACTCCTCCTCCTCCTCTGCTGCCTCTTCTGATCTTTCTAGTTCTTCCTTATCGTTCTCGTTTCTAAGTGTTCGAAAACCCTTGAGGTTCATTGCAGATTTCCCCCGTCTTTATATTTGTATGTCTGTCCGTGTCTCATCTGAATCGCCTTCTTGGTCATTCCCGTACATTCTAATTCATTTTTTTCTCATGACGAAATAGATAAATAAAACATCCATTTAAACTCTATTTCACTATTATTTGTGTGTGGTATACGGCTGCTAACAACAAGAGCACCCACCTTGCCATTCCCACAGGATGTACCCATGGCTGCTGTCTGCTCATAACATGTCGCTAATGTGCCAGGGTCGAAACAAAACATGGAGGTGCAGACGTTTGAGATAATTCCAAATTCTGTGCCCTGTGTAAAAAAAAAAAAAAAGTGATTTATTAACATTATGTGTCAACAAATGTATTCTTCTTCGATCCTTCTGCGAGAAAACGTATCAGCAGCCCGATAACCTTTATGAAAACTATAGTGCAGTCAATATCTTCTCGTGCATCCTACAGTTTTGTCTTTATTGTGGTTGGATCAGGCCAGATTGACAACATACAGTTGACAGTGTTGGAGCACATGCTCAGCATATTCTGATTCCATGCTACAGGAACATGTCGCTGTGTTTCCTGCACCGAAAGGTTTAAACATTTGTTGACGAAGTCTGTTGTGCCCTGTCCATAGTCTGAATTTAATACATTGTCTCTTTCTAGAAAGGTGATGAAACGACTCTTTAGAAGAGAATTTAGCGTGTGTCCAGCCACCTTTTTTAGATGCTAAACTGTATTAATGTCTTAGTCTCTTGGTGGGTTAAGTCACTTTTTGATTGTATGATTGTAACATTGTTACTACACTACCGCTTCTTGTCAGTCTGTCCCCTATTTATAATTGCCTTCCAAGCCGCAATGATCTGGAATTGACTGCTTTACAGTCTGTTCTACCGAAGAGCCTAAGTGAATCAGATGTTGCGTCAAGTCTACAAACTGTGTGTCTTTTAGGTTAACAATTGCTTGTAGACTTGAGAGGGCATCAGTCAGAAAGACCACTGTGCTATATATATATATATATATATATATATATATATATATATATATATATATATATATATATATATATATATATATATATATATATATATATATATATATATATATATATATATATATATATATTCGAAACTAATGGAATGATTATGTCTTGAGTTAGAAGTGGATAAAAAAAAAATTACTGACGTTGCTATTTAAAAAATAAAAAAAGAAGTTACTTGCCTATCCTTTCATATGACGTTGCTTCCCGTGTGGGTTTCGGGGTCCTATTATAGGGAAAACAAGAATAGACCAACTGCCTACCCAAAAGCATGTCGTAAGAGTCGACTATTTGGGAGCTTCCTTCAAAGTCGGAGTGCATCTGCCTGAGAGGCAGGGAACCAGCAGTCTGCATACAAATGAGTCAGATCTGTAAAACGGATGCACACGCAAAACTCAGGTTCTGGAACAGGACTGTAGTCCAAAAGTGGATGAACAACCAGAACTTTTTACCAGAGTTTACACCTGGTGAACGTGAGGAAGAAGACATGACGTTGAAGAACCAACCACAACATTGTTTGGCTTTTTGCGATTTCATTAGATAATTTTACGTTCAGTAGTTTGTCATTGCTCTTTAAACGGTCGGCTGTCGTTACCATTGTCGAAACCAAAACAAGACGGTCTGCTGATAATTCGCATGCAGCTGGAATCAAACCCGGCACCTCGGCATTATGAAACGCGTTCGCAACGCCTTAACCATAGATGCCAACAGTTACTATGAAGTTCTAGCTTAAAAAAATACAAGGCGATGACATGGGAAGTAAAGACAGTCGACAAGATGTTGAACATATTAGCCACCAAGTGCTAATTGATCTATAAAAAAATGGATCTACTATCATTTATCAAATGAGTCACTGTGGTGAAAAGGGGTAGCTTTCTTCCTCTACTTAACCCCACCTGCAAGTCACTGGTAGGATAGCTTGTTAACTCGTCTGCTAGTGGGTCTTCTAGAAGCTCATAGAGCCACTCATCAAATCACTGAAATCTCTGAACCACAGCAAGCCGAAAGCGAATGAATGAACCAGCGAACGAAAGAGCCTTATTTTAAAATGGTTAAGAATCCTTAGGAATGGAGGACGTCAAATACTGTACATTCTGGTCTTTCCTATACATGTTTTATAAGTAGGGTGACCATACGTCCCGTTTTCACCTGGACAGCCCGCCTCCCTTCCCTTTCCAAACTCCCTTCCTCTCCCACACACATCAATTGTCCAGTTTCATAAAAATCCACGAATAAGCAATAGATTCCATACAAACGAAATGGAAAATGTATACCAAACGAGTGGAATCAATAAGAACAAGGCATGGAATCTAACTAGAGAAAAAGTTAAAAACTGGATAACATATCCAATACACAAAATGAATGAGAAAATATATCGATCTATACAGTCTATTAGTGAAACTTATAAGAATAAGGCATGCAATCTAGCTAGAGAAAACAGTTTTAAAATTAATTAGTTTTTATAAGCTTAAATATTCTAATATTCTTAAAATGTATTAGTTCCTCAATGAATAATTCTATACTAATGATAAATTCTACAAATAATTGGGGGTGGGGTGGGGGTACAGTAGCATGAGGGTACCCTAGATCGTGTAGAACTTGAAAAGATATCTTACTCTGCACATCCGGGAAGCACTCCCATAAATCATCCGACACTGGTCATCTGGCGGGAACTCCTGTCCTGGCAGACGGCTGCTGACGTCCGGAACGCCAGCATCAATCGGCAAAGAGGACAACAGACAGGTCTGACCTCGCCTGCAACAAGAACTATTGAATTCAGTGCTGGTCCACTCAACTCTTTTAGTACCAAAAAAACAAAAACAAAAACCCTCACTTTTTTGCGAACATTTTACGTAATTCCAAAGACACTATAATGTACTTGGTGTCTTCGAACGCAAAGAGTAGTTATAGTAGCCGTTTATAGTTAAGGGGTCACTACACGGCATTTTTCCCAATTTATGACAAAAATATCACTTTTTCAATGTGTTCGTTTTTGTAAAGTTCGGCATTCGTAGAATTGATGACACACAAAATGTATGTCATTTGTAAACAATTTAGCATTGAAAAGGTAATACTAACGACACCACCTCGTGCACTTTTTTAAGATAAAAAAAAATTAAAAAGTCAGTTTTCTCAAATCTCTATATTTCAGTTTGTTGTGTGTGTGAAATCCTAAATCCTAAGCTAATATGAAGAGTAGAAACATGAAGTTTTGTATGCATACTTCATAAACAATATTATAGGGACTGGTCTATCTAAAAGTAGATTTTAGAAAGTTTTTGTTTTCTAAAATTTGATTATTGTCTTATGATGCTAGATTGTTTTTACTTTTTCAATAAACCTACATTTTAAAATTCTACGAAAAATATTTAAAAATATGTTTAAAGTAAATAAACTAGACCTGTACCTCTAAGTAGAATATAAAATCATGGATCCATCATCTATTGTTGAATACCCATATTTGTTTTTAAAATTTTAGGATTCTAAGTACATATTGTTTTTTTCACAAGATGGCGGCTATTGCCATGACAACTATGATTTTTTTAACACTTAAAGTATACAAATGTAATAAAATGTATCCCTACAAATGACCATCATAAAATAATTGCTCTAAAGTCTGTAAATAAAAAAAATAAAAATTGTTGGTGTAGTGACCCCTTAAATTATTAGTTCAACTAATTCTTACCCATTGTTTGGTGTCCTATACAACAAAGGGTCTTTATACTAATTTTTGAAGTTAAATTACAAGTTTAACTAATGTTGTAAATCATTAGTTAAACTAATAATTTAACTTCAAAAGGTAGTTTAACTACTTTTTACCTATGGCTGTGTGGCTTCTACCAAAAGGATACATTATATTATTCCGTTGTAGTCAAATTATTCGTTTAACTATTTCTACTAAGAGATCTACCAGATTTAACTCATTCAGTCGAACGTTGTTGTTGTTGTTGAAAAAAAATGATCTTGGTTTCCAGGTCGACCCAGCCATGAATGAGTACCAGACAGAGTCCTGGGAAGTAAAGGCGGTCGGTGTGATGCTGACCACACCACACACTAAGTGCCGATTGATCTATAAAGTATATGTCTAGCCCTATATGCCCCTTAACGTTTGAAGGCGCAGAGATGGGTTCTGTATTATTCATGTTCACAATCATATTTCATTATAGACGTAGTCAGTGTTTCTGAACATGTTATGACAATAAATGGACACGAGAGCTTGATAAAAACCGAAAAGGTTGCTGGAAAGAGAGCCAGAGGAAGACAACGAGATAAACACCTGGATGGCTTGGTCAAATAGATGGGGACGAGACAAGAATATTGACTTGATCCGTGATTCTGGTGACAATGTCATCAATGTGAGATGGTGAAACATGATAGCCTAGTCTTACTGGCACGGCACATGATGATGATGTTGTTGTTATATTGTCGCATTAAAAGATAAGGATGATAAATCAATACTTACATTGTTCTGAGGGTGCTACCAAGGAAGTTAGTGAAGGAAGCAATGCTGCAGCGCGAGAACAGCCAGGGGTTGAACCTGTTGCTGGAAGTGACCTGGCTGCTACCACTCGCCATAATGTACCTGTCTGATGAATGGCAGCTGTTGCCGTCCCCGTCGTGCCTCGCTGACAAGCTGAACAAGAAAACAAGAATGCAACCTATAAATACGTCACTCTCCAGTTCAGGTAAACGAAAACTATTGTCAAATTATTTAAAAAATGGGAATTGGAACTCTTCGATTGCTGCTGGAGATGGGGAAGGAAGGCTTATGGGATTGTCCCCTGTGCTATGATGTCGATTTTTAATTCAACATTTAATTGTGTATTGCATCAAAAAACCGGCGCTCATTTTGAAAAAAAAAGGACCTACCACGCCCCTTCCCCCCTCCGCGCCCTCCCCCTTTGGAATGCGTTTCGACTGTGTCCTACCTGGTTTTTGATGTGAACTTCTAATTTGAAAAATAGCAAGTGGCTTGCTTCCAGAGAGATACTTACAATTATTTTTTAAAACTGCTGCTTCGACCGAGAATAATCATCTACATTTCTAGTGCCGGCCTATTTGCGTTCGCACTTCTGATAGCTGTCATATACATTTAACATGGGTGAATCTATTGGCTTTGCGGAGACTGCAATCTGTATCAATTGTTTCACAAGGGACAGTGAGATGTTCGCTGACAGAGGAACATAGCAACTAAGGGAAAGATCCGTTTGATGTGAAGTTGGAACTGCGTAGACTTGACACCTGTCGCCTATGGGCAATTTGCAATATTTACGTTGACTGCACCAACTCATAAAGTCTTACCTGTGACCCAGCTCATGGGCTGCTGTGTCCACTGCCTGGAAGCCGCCAAGATCCTCAATCACAGAGATACTCTTACCGTCGGTCCGACATAAGGTTGATGTGAAAGCCAGGCCTGTGTCAACGAAACAAGCGCAGCTAGTGTACAAGAATGGCGATTGCACTCTGACAAAAATATGAGGATGACATCGCATGCGCAATACAGTTTAAAGCGCATTTACTCTTCCCCCCCCTCCCCCCCCCCCGGACACTTCCACGCACACACAAACACACACACACACACACACACACACATGCACCACACGTTTACACACAGACACATGCGCAGTCACTTACCCACCCCACATATGAAAACACAGGCACACTCACACACCCACATATATACACACACATAAACATAAGGACACACACATTCACACATAGACACGCACATGTGCACACACATGAACGTACACACAGTCTATTTCCTTTCAGTGTATCCCCTACTGCCGCGGTTCTGAAACTTTTTTCTCTGTGGTACCCTTGTCGGGCAAAATATTTTCAGCCCACCCAGTTTCAGAACCACTGCTCTACTGTATTACTATGTTAGCTATTGAACACATCTTCTAATAGATATCGGTGTGATGCTGACCATATCACCCATCTTGTGCCGATTCGATAAAATAAAGGTCTAGCCCTATATGCCCTATACGACTAAAGGCCTGGAAAAGGGTCCTTTACTTTACTTACTCTAATAGACAACGCTGTATACGTAAAGTCTAAAGAGAATGGTTACAGAATGTAGCCTCTATCTCCATAACCTCACCTGTTGTAGCATTTGTATTCACGGACTGTGCCAGCGTCGAGGTCAAGTCATACCTGAAAGGGGGTAGGTTCAATTTATCGCATAGTTGATTGTAGCTAAAGAATAGTGATGGACTACAAGAGGAAACGATATGAGATAATAATTCGTTAGGTATATGTGTAGTCAGGGATTTGCTTCTAGGAAGCAAATATCGACTGTCACGACAAAGTGTCTTGAAAAAATGTACTTGACATAAAATGTTGTGAAAGAATGATTGCACTGGTCACAAAATGTCTTGAAATAATGATTGCACTCGTCACAAAGGGTCTCTTACAGACAGGGCCGGATATAGACTTATTTACAAAAAAAAAGTAAAGGACCCTTTCCCACGCCTTTAGGCATATAGGGCATATAGGGCTAGACCTATATTTTTTAAAGACCAGTCGGCACAAGATGGGTGATGTGGTCAGCATCACGCCAGACTTGTTCAGTCCTACGCTTTATAAAGCTCTGAGGCCCCAACTCTTTTAAATCACACTAGTTAATCTCAGAAAATTGTCAAATACAAATATCCTTTTAATATATAGATGATAGAAATATATTGTCGTTTAATTCTTATAGAAAAGAAATAATAAAGAATGTGTCCGCAGAATCACAGACATTATATTATAACATCATCACCAAGTGCTTTGCCAGCATGCTTAGGCGTTCATGTATATCCACAGATCTCGGTCTTTGGTGTTCTCGATAAATTACGCTGATGACATTCCTTCATGTCACTAGCTTAAGCGATCCAGTATCATTTCTCATGGTCTGCCTCTGCCTCTTCTACCAGGGATCTTTCCAGTCGTCAAGATATGTTCCAGTGCTCCTTGTCTCATTATATGCCCCAAGAATGTCGTTTGTCTTCTTCTCATTTTTCTATATAACGTTCAACGATTTTTTGCCATCAGGCAATCATTGTTAGTTATTCTGGCAGTCCAAGATATTAGCAACATTCTTCTCAAGAACGACATCTCAGTTGCCTCCAAACTCTTCTTGATTTCCTTGCTCACATTTCAAGATTCACTGTCACACGACAGAACAGGCTTGAAATAACACATTTCAGTACTCGTTTTCTGATGTTTAATGAGAGTGGTTTTTGATGGCCCGTAGGGCGCCAAAAACTTGTTTTTGTTTTTTCATTAACGTTTTTTTTTTTTTAAATTTTAAAAAAGATCTTCCATAAATTTTCTAATTTTTTTGTGTGTGTGGGTATGTTATCTCACACTTTTATTTATTCTAACTTGTAGCTTATTTAAAATCAACAAAATAGTCGGCTTAAAAAACGTCAACTTTCACCATTCATTATCTTATATATTTTAAAGTTTTCTGAGATTAACTGATGTAATATAAAACGTTAAGGGCCTCAGGGCTTCATAAAGCTTAGGGCCTCATGCAGTCGAAATCCCATCCTGTCTGTGTGCAGTGGTAGAAGAAAGCTGAATCTGTCATAATATTGCAGGCACACAGAACATGAAGTGACCCTGTTGTAAACGCAGGAAGTTCCAACTTATCTGTTTTATGTGGCTGTAATAGTGCATCTGAGATGTTCCTGTCAGACTGACACATGAAAATACTTTTTAAGTTACAATTTATCAAATGTATAGGCTCCATTTCCAGAAAGGGAATACGACAGGAAAGCAAAATGGGAGAGGTACATGGGGGGGGGGGGGGGGGGGGGCAGGTGAGACAAATTAAAGATGATATGTGTGACATCCCCGTTTGGGGGGTTCCGCGTCCCCATTTTAAGGGGGAAAAGAACAGTCCCACTGCCTCCCTAATAATCATGCCTTGAAAGGTAACTAATTAGTGATGTCTGTTCTTTCGAAGTTGGAGGACGTCTGCCTTAGAGGTGAGGAACCAACAGTCTGCATATCAGTAGGTTAGATCTGTAAAAAAGATGCGCACACAAAACTGAAGTTCTAGAACAAGTTGTAATTATTAAGCTTTCCACCTGAGTTTACAGCCGGTAAACGTGAATAATAATAATAATAATAATAATAATAATAATAATAATAATAAGATGAAAAGAAGAAGAAGAAGAAGAAGAAGAAGAAGAAGAAGAAGAAGAAGAACAACAACAACAACAACAACAACAACAACAACAAAGAGGAGAAGGAGACGAGTGTGAGAGGAATGTAATTATGAAGCATTAGATGAAAAATAACAGATAATCATCTGCAATTATATTATTGAATGAATGTATAACTGAATGAATAAATGAATACACAGCCGAATGAATGAATGAATGAACGAATAAAGGAATGAATGAATGAATGAATGAATGAATGAATGAATGAATGAATGAATGAATGAATGAATGAATGAATAAAGGAATGAATGAATAAATGAATGAATAAAGGAATGAATGAATGAATGAATGAATGAGTCAAAAATTGATATCACCACACTCGTGACAACTTCACGCGTTATAACCTGCATCTTTAGTTACAACTGAAGGATTTCCATGCTGTTGTTGTCAACAGAAAATAATATCCAAAGAACCACCTGTCTTGTTTGGAAATACTGAGGTTTGATCCCTGCCTTTTTACTCCTGGAACCCGCAATGGGAATTTATTTTAATACCACAGGAAGGAAAGTATATTAGTAGCCATTACCCAAACCTGTGTGCATGCGCGCGCGTGTGTATGTGTGTGTGTGTGTGTGTTTGTCCGTACGTCAGTACGTATGTCTCTATATATTTCTTGGTATGGGTATTTGCCCGTTTCAGTTCAATTAAATTCCACCCTAGAGTGGAACGCAGATTTTCGTTATTTTGAAGCCCCACTCTGGCTGTTGTATGGGGCCCTTATTTAACCCAACCTATGGGTTGAGCGGGCATTCTGGGACCTCTCCACGGGTAATCCTTATCCGAATGTTGGCAATTTGTGTCACCGGGTGTTTATCGTTAGGTGTGATGTCCTAGTAGGGTTGAACATCAATTAATTGTCTGCATGTTTGTCTCTATCTCTCTGTATGTATATAAATGTGTCTGTCTCTTTCTATATGTGTCTGTCTGTCTCAACTCCCCATTGTCTATATATCCTTTTGCTGATGCAATACTTTACTTTTCCAGGTTGAAAACGCGATTCTTTGCCCATTTTGTTTAAGACTATTGATGCTATTAAAGTTTAAAGGGCAGCGTTTCAAAAGGGTTTTATAGAACACGCTTATTAGGCAATATAAATTAAGCTAAACAGGCTGCAAAATAAATTTAAATGCTAGGAAATGGTAGTACCAAAATTGTCTCCCTTACGAGAAGAGGTGAATACCTAATCAAATAAGGATACCAGGGGTCCTCTCTCAAATAAATCATTTGGGGCGGGGCAGGGTAGCGAAGGCCCCATCCCATTTATATTTTCGAAATAGTATGTCATGTATAAGCATAAAATTAAACTCAAAAAAAAAAAAATATTGTTTAAGTATGGTTGGGGAGGGGGGGGGGGGGGGGGGAGGTCACTGAGCTCTCTCGCAAATTGTAGAAGGTAAGGACAGTGGTGAGTATAACCCCCTCCCCCACTCTCCTTTTTCCTTTCCCTCTAACCCGCCAACCCACTACAATTATTAAAAACATTTTTTTAGTAGGAAGAGAGCGCTCAATGGGCTTGAGCCTCTTGGTTCCTACGCCCCTGATAAATACTCACCCAGTGAACAGCATCGCATGGTCGGACGGATTGAGCATGTCACTGCCAACACCAGCCGCAAAATCACTGAAGGCGCTAAGAACCCTCTGGGCGTCCACCTCATCCCAGGGTTTACTGATGACCCTGAACCTCTCGGTGAAGGTGCTGGCTGCTGCAGTCTAGTGGAAGATAATTACACATTACTGAACTCTTTAGGGCTCCATTGGGTAATCAGGTAATCGTGGTTTCAGCTTTATAGCAAACGGGTCGCTCCCATGGTTGCTCCGCTCCTGTGCCAACAAAAACCACACAGAATGTCTGTCACCGTCCCTTGCGGAAAATTTAACAGACTGCAGTTAAAAATCAGCAAATCCGCTGGCATAAACACGCATCAAAAGCATAAGGCAGCTGACAGAAGTGCTAACACAGACAGTCCTACCTACAAATGCAGTTTATCATCGATGAAAGCAGCAGTTAGTAACATATTAGTAGTCAGTTGCATTACATATTGAACTAAAAACTATAATTCCTTGCCTGGTTGTAGAAATTAAAAATTTATTAAAGAGATGTTATTTTGTTATCACAATCGACGTCAATGCACACTAGGCATTCCTATGAGTGCTCAGTCCTCTAACGCAGCACTCACTCTAAAGTACTTCTACTAATTGTTCCCTTGAGAAGTGAGTTATTATGTCTCCTATCTCGGCCTCGAATGTGGCATAGACGTACTTCACCATGCTTTACTCCAATGTCACGCAATCGTGTTAGTGTTAGAGATTCGACATTATCCAGTAGTCCTGTCCGTATAGCGATGACGATGTCGTTAAGTGCGATTTTCGAATGCTTTCTATCCATTCAGAGCGCATACCGCCTGTTGCTATCTTCTGAAGCATGTTCGTGGAGTCTGATACAATTACTGCGTGTGTGGCTGTTTGCTCTGCTGCCCATGCTAGTGCTCTAGAAGCAGAGGCTATCTCCATGGTCATACTCGACGTGGTTTCCTGGTAAGCGCTGCTGTCCACTTGTATTGTTTCCCCCATTCTTTGCACTGTGTATGCCTATGCTGACCTTGATCAATGCTTCACAGATCCATCTGTGTAGATGATTATATCTTCTGGGTGTGAATGCTGATATATCAGTGCCTTTACCCCTGTGTCTACGACCGCAGGAATCTGATCCCTGCAGTACCTTAATGAAAGAGATACTTTTGTGATTGTCAGATTTAGTTAGTATGCACCATCAGTCAGTATCTGTGGCTTAGGCGTTGCAAACGCGCATAGTAATCCCGCGGACAATTTGTCATGCTTTGGTTCCGACTGTGATACCGGGAGCTGACCGTTTAGAGGCAATGGCAAACTACTGAACATAAAATTTGCCTAGAAAACCACAACAGCAACAGAAATGACGGCGTTGGTTCTGCAACGTCCAGTAAAGGATGCGCAACTAACTTTTAATACCTATCAAAACTTACATATAAGAAGATACTTGATGTGAAATGTGAGACATCTGGGAAGTAGTCAGTAACAGGTCATGCGTTGTTTAGGACTGAACGAGTGTAAGGTCTCCGTGGCGAGGTAGTCAAGCCGTTTTCCTCACTCTCTGAAGGGTGTGAATTAGTTTCAAGTACCAGCTTTATGGAGATCCAAGGAGCTTTGTTAACCTTTCATTCCACCATATTCTTTGCCTTATAAAAAATCTCACGTCCACTAGAATAGGTATTTGTCAGCTTTACTGCTTGTTGTGTGCTATATTGACGCAGACCATGTCAGAACACCGGTCAACCAAGCTTGTACTAAATTAACATAAACAATGTTGATACCCCCGAATTGACACTCAACACTGCTTTTTCTCCATTTCTCAAGTGCAAATAAAAACACTAGTTCTGTTAGAACATTAGGTTAGATCCACGATAATCTCCCCACACTACACACTGGCTCGTTTCTGATTTGTCAACCTCCAGTCACCCGACCTTCGCACACTGCTAGGGGGGCGTTTTGGCAATGCGTTGATATCGCGTGTTGTATATTTAAGCACACCAGCGCTTTTAACACTACAAAAACATTTACAAACTGGGTCTAACCCGTAAACCTACCACCCTCCCCCCAGAGAGTACTGCAACATATGTCACATGCATTCTCTGTAAATGCAACGACATACAACGACGAGTCTACCTTATAAGGACATACAACGATGAGTCTACCTTATAAAGACATACAACGATGAGTCTACCTTATAATGACATACAACGATGAGTCTACCTTATAATGACATACAGCAATGAGTCTACCTTATAATGACATACAACGATGAGTCTACCTTATAAGGACATACAACAATGAGTCTACCTTATAATGACATACAACGATGAGTCTACCTTATAAGGAAATACAGCCATGAGTCTACCTTATAAGGACATGCAAAGATGAGTCTACTTTATCAGGACATACAACGATGAGTCTACCTTATGATGACATACAGCCAGGAGTCTACCTTTTAAGGACATACAACGATGAGTGTACCGTATGAGAACATACAACAATGAGTCTGCTTTATGAGAACATACAACGATGAGTCTACCTTATAAGAACATACAGCCGTGAGTCTTATCTAACTGTTTATATACTTACCTCTGTTATTATAACTTTGATTAGACGTACATGGATGGCGTAATTTGTGGATGTGATTCTTTGATATCGCAAATCCACCTGCAAAGGAGAGTAATTATTTCGCTGACACAGTTTTCAAAATGAACATTACAACTGATTTACAGATTTTAAGAATCGACATCATAGCACTCAGGGCAAACCCATAGGTATCCACTCAAGCCACATTTGTCCATTTTGAACATTCCACAGTAACGACTGAGAATCAGACACTATAACTGCTCCTGTAACTTTGTTTTCTGCTATCCATCTTAGAGATGCAGTCATTGCCTTTGCCCGTAACATCGAATCTCCACTGTTCCTGATGACTGCATTAACAATGCGGCCCTAAATCCTCATGATTAAGACCGGCCCCTCCCCTCCCCCTTTATCCTGGTTTGTCTTACCATCGTCATCATCATCTCCATCATCATCCTCACAGTCATCATCATCATCATCATCATCATCATCATCATCATCATCATCATAATCATCATCATCATGAAGTGCCTTATCGACTAGCGTGAGCAATCATGCGTCTGCACAATCTGACGATGATGATTTTTACGAAGCTGTCCTTGGAAATCTATATAAATCTATAGAATAAAAGCATGACAGACAAAATTGCAACACTTACTCCAGTAAAAATGAAGGCATAGTATTCTCTCATGGCTTGGAGAGTATCTGTCCTAGTCATAGAGCTGGTAGCAAACCGTCTGTAGGTGGCGTAGTCAGCTATAGCAACAACATCGATGAAATAGTTCTCTCCCACCTGAGACTGACGCCGTCGCCGGCTGGATGAAGCACGAGGTGGCAGTGCGGGTTTTGTAGGCAGTGAAATGGGAAGTGAGGCTCCTTCTGCCGAGAGCCATGGTATGTCCTGCTGTGTGGTCTCTATAAACTGAAGCTTTACTTCTGGGGCTGAAATTATAGTTGTACATACAAGATAATCACTGACCACTTAGCTGCTTATAATATCAGTTTAATTATCATTCAGTGTGTCCTTTAGAGAACGTCGCTCTCCTCACAATACGCCTGAATGTCTCTCTTTCTCTAGCCAATTCTCTAGCCAATTCTCTAGCCTTTTGAGATTTCATAGCCAATGTATCTTTAGTGTTGTGTCTGCGTGGTCGCCGGGCATGGTTTCCGCCTTGAGTGTTAGAGGTGCCGGAATCAATCCCCGGTGAGGGCTGGGATTTTTTTCACCTGGACTTGGTAATTCCCCGTGGTCTCTGGGTTGTGAGATCGGACGCCTATGTGCATTGTTGCGCACGTAAAAAATCTCTTGGCAATTGGAAATCGAAAAGAGTAGCCTAACGGCGCTAGTCGATCAAAATTTGAAGTTAAAAGTCTACCCATAGTATTTCAGGACCCTCGCAGGTGCTACAGAGCTTGTGCAATGTGCTGAGCTTCTTCGGACTCAGACTTGAGTTAGAAGAAGAACGGAGCACTTATAGGTTGCTAGCCGTGTACCATTATATTGATCCGTTGTTCAAACCTCAAACCTTCAGAGACCTGTATCTACCTTTATCCAACTTCGCGAAGGTTGGCCTCTGTCTAGAGTGACCCAAAGCTTTCTCCAGATACTGATTCTACAGTCGGTCATGGGTGACCACACGTCCCGTCTGATGTGTCCCGGTTCCAGGCCACCAGGACTTTTAACACTGCCAAAATACCCCAGCTTTCAGGACAGAAGGCTGTTCCCCACACTGAGTCTCCGTTACTTATTTATGGGGGAGTCGACGTGGTGTAGCGGTTAGATGCTCGTCTGTAAAGGACACGCAGCTAAGTTTCAATTTCCGCAAGGGCTCCAGTCTTCTTCCATAAATTCATCATCATCATCATCCCCATGTGCCGTTTATACGTGAAAGCGGTCTCACGGTGATTGTCCCATCCAACAATTGTGTCTTTTTTTTTTCTCACCTTTTCATTCACTTTACTTTATTTAGTCCCCAAAGCTCTACACTTGTGAGTCTATCCTACCATTCGATTATCTCTGCTGTGAGCTAACATTCGTTAACGATTACTTTGATCTCTTGTCGATAGGTAAATAATGCATCTATACCAGTATTTCCCAAACTTCTCTTGGTCGCGGAGCCTTTTTTCAATTAAAATTATTTCACGGCACCCTAACCTAAGTAAAAGTATGACTAACTGTGTCTTGGTTAAAATTATTATGAAGCTTTTACAATATTTCGCGGCGCCCCTAGGAAGAGGTCGCGACCCCCTGGGTGCGCCGCGGCGCACAGTTTAGGAATCACTGATCTATACTATTATCCTGACACATTTCCAAGAGTGTTGTGGTGATCTAAAGACAGTGACCTTCAAAAAAGCATCATAAAGTTGTAGAATACACAGATAATGCAGAAGAGGAGGCCGCCGATACAAGAATATAGATAACTGGGATGTACTTACGTGCATCCAAGTAGTCGTTCTGAACAAAGCGGGTCGGTGATTGTGGAAACAAATTATATGCTTCACTGGATTGCTGCTGATGTGTCGGTATTCTACCATTTCGTTTTCTGCGTGTTCCCAAAGTAAGTGTGTATTTATTGCCTGCGATATTTAACTCTCCTTTCTGAAAAGAAACACGTAATCAATTAGCCTACATACACGCGGAAAAAACCTAGACATTTATGATATGGTAAGCAATGCAAAGTCTATCGCAACTGACCACAAACGGTGGAGAGAGCTGATCAGACAGTCAACAGAAACTGGTGACCCAACGACACGTAGTGTTGCGGGATGATGATGATGATGAAGTAATGCAAGTAAAGGAATCTTCTCATGCTATGGCTACATCGAACTACGGTGCCAGACCAACCGACTCTCACTGAGTGAAGAAATCAACATCTAACCGGCAACCTTTTACATTCCAGGATCTTGGCTACATCGAACTACGGTGCCAGACCAACCGACTCTCAATGAGTGAAGAAATCAACATCTAACCGGCAGCCTTTTACATTCCAGGATCTCCGAGTCTTGGCTGCATCGACTTCTGACCCATACTTAATAATTAATATTATGCCATTGCAGATTCAAGACCAAGATAATCGGATTGGTGAATTAGTGATTAGATTTATTTCTGTCAATTGTGGATATGATTAATGATTAGTGATTACTAAGTACACACGTCATAGCAGTTCGGATAGATCCACAGGTGCTCCAATCTGCTACTCAGTAGCTCTACAAGAGAAAAACGACTGAGAGAGCACACCCGTTCTGTGTTGATTAATCCGACATCTTGTGCCTCTGATGAAATGGTCACGTCTGGCTGTCTCAGTGCAACCCAGTGTCCATCAGGATACTATGTCCTGTTTGTTGTCGTGAACTTCTTCGCGATAGGTATTTCGCTTGGCATTAATGTCATCACTCCTGTCAATTGCAAGGTCAGTTGTGGTAACCGTCTTGTCAGTCAGATAATCTGCAAGCTTACTATCTTGAAGACTAGCATGACCCGACATACACATAAATGTTAGGAGAGTTGTTTTTGATACATTTAATGAGAGAATCCATTCTGGTCGGAAACCGTGGATTTTCCACCCCTTCTCCCCTCCGTGCAGTTACCAAACGTTTTGTGCACTCCGAGATCACAAAATCTGAATCTGGATGGCAAACCTAAACAATATCCCGCTCAACATCCAATAAACGTATTATTCGGACATCCGTAAATGCTATACCAGCCTGGTATGGGCTGCAGTCATGTGTGTGTAAGTATGTATATATAACAAATATATATATATATATATATATATATGTGTGTGTGTGTGTGTGTGTGTGTGTGTGTGGCTATCACACAAGTAAGTCGCCCTCCCATTTATATATCTTACATTGGTCTATTTGCGACAGCGAGCCGCCATGATGTAGCCGCTAGACGCTCGCCTCGGGTCCGAAAGTTATAGGTTCAATCGGCAGGATATTTTTCAGTGCTCCGTGGTGAGTATCCTTATCCCCAGCCGCTTTATCTTCCAGAAAATTTATAATTGGTAAGAGTTCACTCATTAAGAAAGTTTTGTGTATACTATGCTAGCGCCATATGTTTGGTCAAATCCACTCTAGATGATACACGATGCTCCTACCTTCTTTGCTTGCCAAAATATTTCCTGATACGCGATCTAGGCATTGAAGCTTGAGCTTCCTGCCTTTAAAATGAGTCTGCCACCTGTGAGTGCAGAACAGACAGGCACACTCTTACGCGAGTACCGTATGTAGGTCTGCAATGTAAGTTTCGGACGGGGTAGGGGGTGTCGGGATTTGGTCTAATGGAGCTACTTCTGAAGAAAAACTGTGGGGATTGTCAGCTACATAATGGGCACCACCTTACTTGTAAAAGAGATTTGACTGAATGTTTAGCATGGCAGATATTGGGGGGTACTAAATAAAGAAGACGGAAAGGTTCTTTTCTGCTATTTCCCCACATCACGCCAGCTTCGAGATTTGGTAGGGAAATCCCAAGACCGTTCCATAGTATGGTGGGGGTAGGGGGTGAGGGAGAAAGTATTAGTCGCTATTCATTTAACACTAGACCTAACGCTAATTCCCCTATACTGTGAGACGGTATGGTGATTTCCCTACCAAATCTGGAAACCGGCGTGGTGTGGTGAAATAACAGAAAAGAACAGATGGGGATTCGAAACGATGAACATTAGGACAGCAGGGAAGTGTGATTACCGCTGCAATGTTGCTTTAAAATAAGTAGTGGTAAACGAAGCTTTGGACTTTGACAACTTAATATTGGGAACTGCACTGTACACAAGAGCACTTTTCCTTATTGTACCGTGTTTCCTACATAGAGACCCAGACAGGTAAAAGTGCTGAATTAATTACTGAACACTTATGGCTGTATCCGGTGCGATAATAATGATCCCCACTAAAAATAATTAAACGGAAAGCCATGGAAAAAATTGAGTGAACAGATGGCTGAATAAACACAAAATGCACCTGTGAAGCTCAGTGAAAGATAAGCAGCCTTGTTGCATTTTGAGAATAATTGAGACATTCGTTATATCACTTTGACATCAGTATGTCTGATTTCCTCTTCAATTTTGAACAACATGCAAACGATCAAGGAAATAGTTTTCAAATTGTTCAAACAATGCACTAGCCATCGTACAGGCGTACCGAGACCTGACAATAGCTATCGTCTAACTCATTTAATTTAGTGTGAAACCCGTCCTCCCAACGTAATATTCCGAAGTAAACTTGACGCGGGGACTGTGTTGCATGACTCTCTTTCCCCTTTGCTAGCTCTAAATCAATTTGCTATGCATGACTAATACAAAAACTTCGCATCTGCAGAAAGCCATATAAGGATGTCAAGAGCTGGTAATTCAGCACAACAAATATCGACTAGCTGATATTTGACTCAGCTGATAATATTTCTTCCACAGGTTTTAAGTCAGAGGCACCAAAACCTCATAAAAATTGTTTGGTAGGAATCCTATATATTCTACATTAAGCGTATCAATCCTGCTATTATTTTTCTATTACTCATTACTTCAGTTCCGTGGCTCTAGTTTAGAGAACGCAGTCCCACTGCACCTCCTCCCTCCCCCTCCCGGGGGGGGGGGCAGACATGCATGTTGTATGAGGCGACTAATTATGAATGTTTCTATAGAAGACTGAGTGCGTATGTATTGAGAGCCAACTGTCTGCATACATATAAGCTCGGTCTGTAAAACGGATGTGCACGCATGAAAAGTCCAGGAGTAGATTAACAACTAAAACTTTTCGCAAGAGTTTACAGCCGGTGAACGCTGCTGCTGCTGCTGCTGCTACTACTACTACTATTCCTACTAATACTACTACTGCCGATGCTGCTGCTGCTACTGCTCCTAATACTACTAATGCTACTTCTACTAATACTTCTACTGCTGCTGCTACAGCTGCTGCTACTAGTACTACTACTACTACAACTATTCCTACTAATACTACTACTGCTGCTGCTGCTGCTACTGTTGCTGCTGCTACTAATACTACTAATACTACTTCTACTAATACTTCTACTGCTGCTGCTACAGCTGCTGCTACTAGTACTACTACTACTACTACAACTAATACTATTCCTACTAATACTACTACTGCTGCAGCTGCTGCTACTGCTGCTACTGCTGCTACGACTACTACTACCACTAATGTTAACACCACTACTACCTACTACTACACACATAAACAATGCTTGGGCGCCTTAAGGTCTCCATATCATCTTAGCAGGGCTCAAGACCCTCCTCCCCCCCCCCCCCCCCCCCCCCCACCGCTACTCCTCACTTCCGTTTCCTTCTTATGTTTTGTTTGTGAGAGCAGCCTTGAAATAGTATTTATAGTCTTGAGAGACTCTAACCCCATGACCAGATGAGATAAAAGTGAAGTGATAACTGTATGCACATGAGACTCACCCCTAAGTACCCAAAGGGTAGAGAGAAGGATAGCGAATAGATATTTACTTCAGTTGCAGTACAACCTCATCATCTTCTTCACCATCATCATCATCATCATAAACCATTTCTGCCTTTTAGCGTCGTGGATAGGAATAATTTGTTATCCAGTGCACGCTGGCTAGCATTGGCTATCGTCTGCTGTGGAGGTGTAAATTGTCTTTAATTGTGTCAGTCCATGTTTTGTTGGCCATCCTCTTGCTCTTGTATCTGATCTTCTAAGGATGTAGTGTCTTTTTTTTTTTAAAGTTTTAAATCAATTTTATTGAATGTTAAAGTGGGTCTGTGTACAAGGTTGCGTGGTTTCTGTATTGTACGTATTTAATATACAGGCGTCTGCGATGTGCGTATTTTGTTCAGTGTACTATACATATGTTGCCATGTGTGAGTATTGGTGGTGCAAGTGTGTGCGCAAACAAATTTAACATTTTAACATTGACATTAGGTATTAGTAGGAGATTACAAAGCAGTTAGTTGGTGAGTTGAGAGTTGAAGACCTAGACCGTTAGGTTTAAGGGATAGCAAAGGAGATCATGAGGAAAAGGGGAGTAGAAAGCGGAGGGAAAGAGGGAAAGAGCGAGGGAGATACGAGAGAGAGGGAGATAAAGGAGGGAGAGAGGGTAAAGAGTTAAGCGTGTGAGAGTAAGTGAGGTATTGAGGAGCATGTTAAAACACGAAACTTATAATACTTTATACAGTGTCTGTGGCAGTATTTATGTTGTTGCATTATAATGAGATGACCAAGCTACATAATCCGCTGTCTCTCGATGACTCTCTCGTTGTACAGTAGTGCAAGAATGCAATCTTCTAGTGCAAGTGTACAATCTTCTAGTGCAAGTGTACAATCTTCTAGTGCAAGAGTGCAATCTTCTAGTGCAAGTGTACAATCTTCCCAATAATAACATTATTTATTCGTTTTCGGATTGGATTGTTAGGTTGACGGGTTTTCTCAAGCCTCTCGTCTCGCAGGTGGTGATTTTGCCTATAAAGACTTTAGATAATGTCCATGCTTGGTACTGGTAGCTCAGTGTTGATATGAATATGCTGTTTATAATGTGCGTTACAACCTAACTTACCAAAACAAAATAAACCTCTTTCTGTTCCAATTCGTTTGTTCTTGTCACTTGAATGACAGCCTCACTATTCACGTCTTGGTAATAACCTACATTCTATAAGCAAAGGAAGAAATGGGATTTGGGGGAAGGGGGAGTTTTTAGTTGTGAGTTTGACTAGGAAAAATCAAGGGAATAATGCATTAAATAGTTGTTCCTGGAGTAAATTTAACTTTTTAATAAACTGCTGCGCTAAAAAATTCAACTAAGTCTTGTGCCTGCAATTAGGCAATATAGTATATACCTCTAGCCAGCTCACATCAATTACTTTGATTCGAATTGGCGTCAAGCCAGATTTGTTTCCTTCGGAACTGACCATCGGTCCCAAGTCGACCAGCCTAAAAAGGCTTCTAGGTATTGTCCTAGGAATTATATTCAGCCGACTGTGGTTTTAACCAAATTACCCACAGAGTACTTCTAACAGCAGAAAATCTGGGAGGAAGGCGAAAGGAAAACCAAGACAGACACGGATAAATTGTGTAGCAAAACCACTCTCCCCCCCCCCCCCCCCCCCCCCCCCCCAAAAAAAAAAAAAAAAAAAAAAACCCCATTAAACAAATGCATCACCCAAGCCACCCGAGAAGCGCAAGGCAAATACAGAAAACAACGACACTGGGCTACAATCTGGTATCAGTGAGGCAACAACAGAAGAAGCAGACTCACAGAGTGTCAACTAGTCTTTAAATAAAATGAAACTTATCGGCGGCATAAGAAGGTTCGTTACTTTTACTTGACTACATGATGTGACAAAAGAATGTAATGCCCAAAAAAGCAGTGAAAATGCGTAATCGATTCACATGTGTAAGCGGGCAACAATTGCACTGGAAAGGGCATCACGTGATATTTTCCTCGTCGCTTCGCTGTTGAGAATATGCCTAGGCAGATAGCGTTGTGACACTAGTTAGTAGATAGTAGCTTCGCAAGCTGCAGTTTCTGAATGAGCTTGGTAAGCATGCAGCGAGCGTTCTTTTTATCTATGTTCAAGGCGTAAACCGAGTGGTTTATTTGTAATGAATAGCAAGGTTTATTTGTAATGAATAGCAAGGTTTATTTGTAATGAATAGCAAGGTTTATTTGTAATGAATAGTAAGCAGGTTGGGCTAAGATGACGGGACGTGTTTCCATTTAGCTTGGCTTCAGACTGTTGGTCGACGACCCGACAAGTCTCCATTGTAACATATCCATTGTTTCAGAATTAGATTTCGAGTTGTAAATGTCATGATGCTTCGTTCATACTTATTAAATTTTAAAGACATGTTTAAAATTGGTTATTGGAATCCTGTGAAGAATCATCATTAGAGAAGGCCCAGACATGGGCCTAATAAACATCCAAGACCTAAAACAGGTGACAACCAAGACTAAGCAAGCAGTAATCACATAAAGTAAAATAATGTTACTTTGGCAACAGATAGTTTAAGTGGCGGCTGCAGCCCTTACATCTACTCCTGGCCATTGCCTAGCGACTCACCTGCTTATCCTGCAGCTGCTCTCGCTGGTGGACGTGTTGTCCATCTGTGCCCACACCATGTGTGTACACAGGGATGTTGGGGCTTATATGATCCACACGCTTCAGGTGGAGATGGGTCTGAGAACCTGCATCAGTGGTGAGCGTGATATTCAGTTCGTCAGGAACCGCCTTGTCTGTCATCTTGTGGTTGGTGACATTTACACTTACTGGCAAGTATAATTTGTTATTAAAAAAATTTAAAACAACAATAAAGTAAAATAAAGTAAAAGTATACAATGGCTTAAGAGAGTGTCACACAACAACAACAAAACATTAAAAACACATTAAAATCCAGTTGCCATCAAGCAGGTGTAGAAGGTTTTGGAAAATGACAAACTGTACTATAAATAGAAAATTCACATGTCTGTCTGTCTGTCTGTCTGTCTGTCTGTCTGTCTGTCTGTCTGTCTGTCTGTCTGTCTGTCTGTCTGTCTGTCTGTCTGTCTGTCCGTCCGTCCGTCCGTCCGTCCGTCCGTCCGTCCGTCCGTCCGTCCGTCCGTCCGTCCGTCCGTCCGTCCGTCCGTCCGTCCGTCCGTCCGTCCGTCCGTCCGTCCGTCTGTCTGTCTGTCTGTCTGTCTGTCTGTCTGTCTGTCTGTCTGTCTGTCTGTCTGTCTGTCTGTCTGTCTGTCTGTCTGTCTGTCTGTCCGTCCGTCCGTCTGTCTGTCTGTCTGTCTGTCCGTTCGTCCGTCTGTCCGTCCGTCCGTCTGTCTGTCTGTCTGTCTGTCTGTCTGTCTGTCTGTCTGTCTGTCTGTCTGTCTGTCTGTCTGTCTGTCTGTCTGTCTGTCTGTCTGTCTGTCTGTCTGTCTGTCTGTCTGTCTGTCTGTCTGTCTGTGTATATGTACATATGTATGTTTGTCACGAGAACTATTCATAAAACTGTGAACAGTAAAGAACGTTATATTTGCATATAGAATTCTGGCTGCCATTTCTGGGTCAACTGTGCTATTTTCAACTGTAAATAAACAGAGGGGGAACCTTTGAGGTTCTTCTATCTATCTACTTCTCTCTATGAGTGCCAATCAAAACACTTTCTGTTACTTGATTAATTCATAATATTTTCAACTGACAACTATGAACATTATTATTGCAATGTCTTGTTCGACTTGAATTTGCAATAAAAACCAATAAAGCACAGGGGCAATCACTCTTACGGGCGTTCTTCTCGCATTGATAGATGTATGTGGGATTACAAAAAGCCACCTAATGACCTATCCTTTAAAATTGTTTATCATCGTGCACTATCAATACGAGATTGAAAATATTGAAAAGACCTGTAATAACAGAGTGAATTCAATTAATAATTACGAATAAAAAAAAAATGAGTTTGAATCTGTTCAGGGCGAAACTGCACAATGCAGCTGGTAATAATAAAATATAGTAGCATGTGCAAGTGTGTTTCGTTATTGCCATAACGTTTCATGTCCTCATACCTTGTCGATCATGTTTAACTTCTGCCACGATTCCTATAGTCTAGTCTGGTTTGTACCGTTTTCCTCTGTTGTGTCATATGACAAAGCTAACAATCTACCTTACTTTGTCTTATCCCATTACTTCGCTGTGAAAAATGTGCAACGGCAAAAATTCATTAATGAAAGCTTGTGTTCAAATCTTCATCAAGACGGGTGATTTATTTAAAGTGCCCTAGGGTACAAGGAAATGCGATAGGAAGTGAACGCGGCCTAGGTGATACCATTTGAGTTTCTATAAATATGTGGGGTCACAGTTTCACAAATACGATATAGCAGCGTTCAATGTTGGTTATAGACTATTTGGCACCAGACCGCTTTGCTATGATTGTGACTTTATCTGCGTGGCACCGTTGAGGTTGCAATGACAAACTACTGAATACAAAAATGCTTAGTAAAAGCATATAACAGGCGATGACTGACAGGGTTAGCAAGAAGCATCCTGTTAAGGACACACAACTTATTTGAGCATCATATACTAAATTTCCCCGAAGTCGGAGTACATCTGCCGGAGAGGCGGGGAACGAGAACTGCGAACAAATAAGCCAGTAAAACGGATGTACACGCAAAACTTAGGTCAAGGTAAAAGCCAAAAGTCCATTTTGGACGAACAACCGCGACTTACCGCCGGAATTCACAGCCGGTGAACAACAAGAAGAAGAAGAATATACTAAATACCCAACAAGGCGTGATTTTTTGAAAGCGTTATTCTGCCTCTTCATAGCGTCTGCCAGTTGTGGATAAATTTATCCTCACAATTCGGCCATTAATCTTGATTGTTTACTTTTAATTTCTTAATTAATCAAATTTGATTTTGTCACCGGCTTCTCTGATGATTGTCATTATTTTCTATCACTGTGTTTTTCCCAGTCAGAAGAGTCATAATTACAATAAGATAAATATGTGGATCACAGCCTGCGCTCTTGTCTGAGACAATGAGCGGAAAGCTACAGGAAATTACATATATATGGTGATTTTTAAGGGTCATGGGTCAGGTCAGTGTCCTGGGATGTGAGGAGCGATTTGCATAAATGACTATATCACAAGGAAGACTTTTTTTTATCCCACTGGAGCATCAGGCATATGGTGTTAGATCCACATTTGTAGAGACTAATTGGCAGCCCTGGATGGGTCTTGGGGTCAGCATCAGGCATATGGTGTTAGATCCACATTTGTAGAGACTAATTGGCAGCCCTGGATGGGTCTTGGGGTCAGCATCAGGCATATGGTGTTAGATCCACATTTGTGGAGACTAATTGGCAGCCCTGGATGGGTCTTGGGGTCAGCATCAGGCATATGGTGTTAGATCCACATTTGTAGAGACTAATTGGCAGCCCTGGATGGGTCTTGGGGTCAGCATCACAACAGCAGCTTTCACTTTCCAAGATTTTTACCTGATACCAGTTTTAGAAAAATCACCCATAAGGCACTCGTTCGTTCGTTCGATTTCAATTAGCCACGTTCAACCTCTGACCAGGGAGCTAGTTTCGACCTTGTCCATATCGGTCACAATTATGGCAACAAACTGTGTTGCTATTTAATTCCGTAGTGTTGGCGCTAGTATTTTATGTCTTCCGTGTCTATCTGTCTGGACAGGTCGTACCTCTCATTGTGCAGGTTTGGATCTGATTAGGCGATGTGTTCCTTATTGTGGCATCCGTTGGTGGTGTTGCTGCCACTGACTGGGCTGTCTTCTGAGCTATTCGTGGTGATGTTACTATACCAGTTGTTCATACTGTATTACTAGCTGTTATCGCCGTTGTTTCGCCATTAGGTTCCCAGATGCTATCGCAATCTTGACCATGTTTTTTCAACGTTGTCATTATGTCGTCTCCGTCCATATGGCCATACGAGACGTTTCAGGCCGTCATCCTGTTGCTTGCTTTGAATGTTTTCTTCTGGGCCAGGTGTATTCTTTAGTACTCCCGTTGGATAATCGCCGCTTGATATAATCTGTCGGCTGCTAGTCGTTGTTGCTCCTATTCTCAATCCAATTCAATCCATTTACAGAACAAAAATAATAGTTCGATCGCGTTCAAGCGTTTCAGCTCATCAGACAGATATTTGCCTAAATTTGCGATCCTTATTGTGTAGAACTTGTTCAGGTAATGTTTCCTGTGGTTCCACTGGTTATTGCTGTCATCAGACGGTGTAACTGTTGGTGATTTTTTTCTTCTATAGTAGTACTCTTGTAGAATGTCGGTGTTGGTTTCTATTTCTAAGGAGGTAGGTATCTGTTGTACTTTCTTATTGTATTTTGGTGTTGTTCGCAACTAAGTCAACACACATCTGTTTGATATTTTTTTCTGCTGTCTTCCCCCAGTTCCATCCTGCTGCCGCCATTTCGAGGGTTTCTATTGGCTGACGCTTTCTCCTGCTGTCCCTGCTGTCATTTTCTCTCCATTTTATATTATCTTGATACTTAGTAACTAGTTCTTACAGGGACTTTTATATGATTTTGGCTTTCAATCCATTCTCTTATTCCTGTTTCTGTTCCCTTTATTGCTTGGCGTTTGAAAATGGGAAATAGAAGGTTGGATGAACCGAGGACGCCTAAGAAAAAGGCTGATGAGAGAAGACATAGGATGCTGGAATGTATTTCATCAATGAGATCGAAGTGATTGCAGAGGGCACAACGGAATGGAAGAATAGACTGCGAGATTTATCTTCTTCTTTTTTCCTGCCTCTACTCGTGGAATGACTCGCGGCGCTAGGGCAGGAAGAGATATCTGGAATTGGGCAGGAAGATATATCTGGAATGGGACAGGAAGAGATATCTGGAATGGGACAGGAAGAGATATCTGGAATGGAGCAGGAAGAGAAATCTGGAATGGAGCAGGAAGAGAAATATGGAATGGAGCAGGAAGAGATATCTGGAATGGAGCAGGAATAGAAATCTGGAATGGAGCAGGAAGAGAAATCTGGAATGGAGCAGGAAGAGATATCTGGAATGGAGCAGGAAGAGATATCTGGAATGGAGCAGGAAGACATCTGGAATGGAGCAGGAAGACATCTGGAATGGAGCAGGAAGAGATCTGGAATGGGACAGGAAGAGATATCTGGAATGGGACAGGAAGAGATATCTGGAATGGAGCAGGAAGAGATATCTGGAATGGAGCAGGAAGAGATATCTAGAATGGGACAGAAAGAGATATCTGGAATGGGACAGGAAGAGATATCTGGAATGGAGCAGGAAGAGATATCTGGAATGGGACAGGAAGAGATATCTGAAATGGGGCAGGAAGAGATATCTGGAATGGAGCAGGAAGAGAAATCTGGAATGGGACAGGAAGAGATATCTGGAACGGAGCAGGAAGATAAATCTGGAATGGAGCAGGAAGAGATATCTGGAATGGAGCAGGAAGAGAAATCTGGAATGGGGCAGGAAGATATATCTGGAATGGAGCAGGAAGAGAAATCCGGAATGGGTCTTTTGGTTTTTCTGTTCGCTTCGTATAAAGTATTTTTCAGTGTCACTGGTATGTTTGCGGTCTATCTTCTACGTAGTCGACCTGTGACTCTGTTACTGTTGTATATGTATAACATTGCTCTCTGTGGCGCCCTCCCTGATGCCAATCTTGTTACATGGCCAAAGATGGCAAGGCCCTTGTGACATATAATGGCATAACTGGACAATGAATTAATGAACGAATGAACGAATGAATGAATGTTAGGCAGGATGCACCAACGTAATTTAAAACACTTTCTGGCCCGCATGTAGCTATCACGGCTGTCAGCGATTTGCATGAAAGAAACAAATTCCCATTTACTGAGGGACACCCGTAGAGAGAAAAAAAAAAAGAATAGACGTGGATATCAGAGGTTCCATTAGACAATATGAAGAATTAAATCCTTGAACACACATGGATTCAGAATTGCTCCAATCCAAAGGCAATAACTTCTTATTGATCGAATAAATGTAATTTGATGCACAATAAACTAGGCAGCCTCAAAATGTCCCATCCCCTCCCTTTTGTCTGGAAAACAAAAATTTGTTTTTGTACTCTTCTTAGTTCCTTTGTACTGGCCTTCTAAGTTTTTGTTTATCTTATGATTGATGTTACTTTGTTCGTTAATAAAGACTAGTCAAATCAGTTTTCGGTTATACAACTTGTGGTCGGCTCTGTGGCTAAGTCGATGCGAACGCTTCGTAATGCCGGGATGTCGGGTTCGATCGCAGCTGTGGGCCATGCGCCTTGCGTTGGTTTCGACAGTGGTATCAGAGTGCCGACCGTCAAGAAAGAAATGGCAAACTACTGGACGTAGATTTGCCTAGAGAAACTACACTACAGCCAGGGGCTGCTGGGGTTGGTTCTGCAACGTCCTGTAAAAAGGATACGCAACTAACCTTAACCTTAACAACTTGTGACGTCTTTTTCTTACCTAGCCTTTGTCATCTGTTGCAATGTTTTGTTTGATTTTGGTTAAAATATATTTTTTTAAATGGTTAAAAAATATAATCGTATAGAAAAGCTTACTTACCAGACATGGCATAAGTAAAACTATTGATGATGAAATGAAAAGACAGCCCGAATACAACTGATTTCTGAAGAACAATCTGAACTGTTCGGTACATCCAGAACATCGTGGGCAGTTTGGATACAAGACTGTCTGGTGTAACGGCTCTTCCAATTGAGTATGAAATGTTTACTTTACGAGACCTTATGTTGGAAGGGACGTTTCATCAATCCAGTATGTATTGTGAGCAGCGTCTGTTTTAGTTTAAAAGCTGTTCAATTGTTTGCTGATTGTTTTGACCTTACTGTCGTTGGTGTATCACAGGACACCCAGAGATATTCTGAAATATATGATCAAAGCAATATAGATTTTAAAATAAAAAAAAATATTTTCATCTTCATCATCATCATCTGCATCATCATCATCATCATCATCACCATCACCATTAACATCCTCGCAAATTTTTTTTTTTTTTTGTATATTGCCCAATCCAGCCTAGTAGTTTTGTTGGGCGGTCATTATTTTAGAGAATTATAAAATACTATGTATATTCTACAATATGGCGCAAAAACCTGAACAATGAACATGCAGTTGGCAGGTCCAACCGAGACTCGGAGAAGTGGTTATACAGAAGTATATACCTTATTGAATTTAAACAAATATATTCAAATCAATAGGTTTGAGAAGCAGAGAATGAAAAGAGTCAAGGAAAGAAATATACAAGAGAATAGTAAAATATTAAATTGTGTGTCAACTATAAAAGACAAGTCACTTTTATAAAAATCACCATAGTCGGGTGAAGTCAAACACACGAAAGCACTGGTGGACATGAAACAAGTAGAATGTTAATTTGTTTAGAAGAGCCACAAAGCAATGAAAAGGTGTTCGTACTGCAGCACACCGAGGCGACAAAAGTCATAGCTCGCGTGATAGAGCATACGAGAGGCTGGTATGGAAACTTAATCAAATATAAAAAGATGTCAATATCGGACCGGATTGAGACTTGACGAGGCCCCGAGATATATAAAACCATGTGGCCCCCACCGTTTTAAATTACACCAGCTAATCTAAGAAAACTGTTACATTTATACGGTTTTTTGAATTTATGGATAAAAAAAATACAAGTAAAGTAAAAGTACAGGAACCTTTTCCACGCCTTTCAGGCGTTTTAGGTATATAGGGCTAGACCTATATTTTATAGACCAAACGGCATTTGGTGGGTGATTTGGTCAGAATCACGCCGGCCGCCTTTACTTCCCAGTACTGCACCTGGTACCCACTCAAGCCTCCGTCGACATTGGAGCCAAAGTCTTTGCTGAAAGAAAGTCCGGTCCCCGTCAGGAACCGAACCCACGACGTTCGGATCCGCAAGCACACGTCTAGCCGCTAGACCATGGGATCTCAATGAAAATATATTGTTTAATTTTTTTAGTAATATTGATAATCAAGAAAGTGCTGGCAAAATCACTTAGATTATATTATGTAATCCTCTAAAAAGGCATTGACAGAAAATTGCAATTTAAGTTGATAAAAAGAAAATAGCGTTTTTAACTCCGTCTCAACATGAGAGGTAATTTTTTTTTTTGGGGGGGGGGGGGGGGGGGGGGGCCTATGTGGGGGGGGGGGGGGGGGGGGGTGGGGGGGGGGGGGGGGGGGGAGGGGGGGGTGTAATTCTAAAGCCCCATCCTGGCTGCAGTCGGGGCCCTAAATATAACTTAATGGTTCAGATGGGTTTCTGGGACTTTGGCAATTCTCATCTGAATGGTGACGATTTGAAAGGTTCAAACTGCTTTAAAAATTGTTTTCTAAAAGGTCACTTTTGCAGAAAAGAGAGTCATTTGTGTGAGAAGCAAAATGAAATGTTCCTAATTTTGCACACAACTGAAGCAAAGTGAGATATGCATTTAACAGCATATTTAAACATAGTAAGAATGCTATATACTTCCCGTCCTTTTTAGGACGAAATCTTTTGTTATTTGAAGCCCTACTCTGGCTCTTGCCAGGGGCCGTAATATAGCTTGGCCATAAATATGGCCTAAAGGCTAAACGCGGTTTCTGGGACCTCTCCACGGTGATCCTCATCCACATGGTGGCACTTTGTGTCATCGGGTGTTTATTGCTTGTGTGATGTCCTGGTGGGGTAGAAAGTCAGTCAGTCAGTCAGTCAGTAAGAATGTTCCAACGAAATCAAATTGTCGCAAAGAGAAATATTCATTGACAATATTAAAAGAAAGCGTGATGTTTATACAATAGCACTCTAGACACAAAATTAGACAGTTTTGAAAATAAATGCCTTAGAAGAATACTAAATTTCAAATGGTCAGATTTCCGAACCAATACACAAATAAGGCAAGAATCCAGGCAAGAGTATGTGTCTAATTTTATACGAAAACGCCGCTGGAACTATGTCGGCCACGCCCTTAGAATGGATAAATCAAGACTTCCTTACCAAGCTCTCATTTGGACACCACAGGGGAAAAGATCTCGTGGAAGACCAAGGGAAACCCTACGTAGAACTATCATCAGGGAAGGCTCACTCATAGGCCACTCAAACATCCAAGACCTACAACAGATTGCAACGAACCGCCATGCATGGAGAGTCATGACCTCTGCCCTATGTGCCGCACTCGACACAAGAGGAAAGACTAGCTCTGGGAGACAAAGAAGTGTTTACATGATAATTTACGAGTATTTAATAAAAGTACATGTTTGAACTGTAGTGTATCGAAGCAAAACCAAGAAGCTTTACGCAGGCTAACAATGTTAAAGCTAAGATCCCAATGTGGGTTCCAGGGCCCATTTGAGGCGGAAAAGGGGGGAGGGAAGGTGGTGAGCAAACTCGTTGTCCCCATGCAAAATGTGGCAAAGGCGACTAACAAGAGGTTTGTTGAAATCAGAGTCCTGGAAGAAAGGCGCAGATATCGCAGCCTAGCTGCGAACCACACCACAAGGTATCAACCGCCTGTTTAAGGGTGAACATAGAAGAAGAAAAACGAAGATTAGAAAGATGTTCGTACATATTACTGATTTTTGTCTTACAGACTATTGTCCTGTCATCGACCCGGCTGCCAGGAAATACGAAGATAAGTGATATTGTGTATTTGTATAGTATTGTCTATTCTATGTATGTGCTGAAGAAGGCTCCCTAGCCGCAACGTTTACGTTTTGTTTATTTTTTTATAAGGAGTAGAAAATTATAGGAAAGAGAAAAAGTTGGTAAGAAACAACAATTAGTTTATGTTAGCTTTACAAAATTGATCACAATAAACAAACAAAGGACGTTGCGGCGATTAGCCTTCATCAGCACATAAAGGACAACACAGTACACATACACAAATAGGCTCTAACTATGAAGTGACTACATAGGACTCTAATGTATAGAATAAACGATACTCATCTAGTGTCCCTGGCGAAAAAATGTATGTTATATGGTGGAGCTCGCTGATTTACTTTTTGTTAGGTTTTATATATTTCATTGATATTACTTATTACTGATGCGAGAATCGACATGATAGCACACCGGGCATACCCACAGATGCTTCGTCTTCTGCAGCAAATGTTTTAATGTGTAACCGTTCTTGTAGCACACTGTTCGTTATATAATTGAGATAATGTTTGTAGAAAAGCAAGTTGAAAATAGAAAGAAGGGATATACTGAACCTGTGTACATCAACCCATTTCGAATTCTAATTTCTTGAAAGGGTTCATTCACTATACATTATACAATACCTAATGTTTAAAACTGACATTAACACATTATCGACGTTTTAACGTCAGCAACATCAAACGATTTGAACCCTGTACCAATCCAACAATCAAATAACCTCTGTGGTTTATTGATTATGTAGGGCACGAAAAAAGGCCTCACTTCCTGGTTCATGTTTCCAAGCGTTAACCTGCTGTTAGCCAACAGACGAACATTGTGGGATTGTTTGCTTGACCTGACTGTGTGCAAACTAAACTACGGTGAAACACTCCAAACTAAAATGTATTAGGCAATGGAGTAGTCTCGATAGGATGCTCGTTGAAAAAAAAAAATCTGATAATGAGGATGTTTTAAAAGAAACTGACCCAGGAAGAGAACCGATTGCCCACATCAGAAAAATTTAATATACATTCTATAGTCATGTGACGAGAAGGAGAAAACAGGAGTATATCATGACAGTAGAAAGTTTTAGGGGAGGACAGGCGGAGGGAGACTGAGAGAAAAGATGCTGGACAGTTTGACATCATGGCATGGAGGATCAACACTGTTAGAGCTGATTGAAAGTACGCTAGAGAGAAGATTGTGGATAGACATGACTACTAACGCCACACGGCATGGCCTTTGAGAAAATGGGTTGCTAATTTTAGCTGTCCAAGGAATTCTAAGGATTCGTCTGTAAAACCACATCTCCGAGGCCTCAAGAAATTGTTTGACCTGTCTATTAATTGTCCAGGATTCACAGCCGTATGTTAAAACGCTCTAAACAGCATGCAGTCAATCTTTTCGTAACCTCCAATTATATGGATTTATTGCATAAAATGTTCTTCATATTATAATATGTAGTTTAGGCCTGTCCTATTATATTCTTTATATCTGTGGTACATCTTCCGTCGGATATTATCGATCTGCTTACATTAATACTGCGGATATCCTGGGTGGACAAGAAGAATACTGCGGATATCCTGGGTTGGACAAGAATAATACTGCGGATATCCTGGGTGGACAAAGATAATACTGCGGATATCCTGGGTGGACAAGGATAATACTGCGGATATCCTTGGTGGACAAGAATAATACTGCGGATATCCTGGGTGGACAAGAATAATACTGCGGATATCCTGGGTGGACAAGGATAATACTGCGGATATCCTGGGTGGACAATGATAATACTGCGAATATACTAGGTGGACGAGAGTATTAGTGGAATTTAGTTGGTGGACAAGAAAAGTATTGAGAATATCTTGGGTTGACAACAACAATATTTTGAATGTACTGCGACTATCGTAGGTAGACAAACAATATTGCTAATATACTGGGTGTACAGGGATAATATTGCGAATAAATTGGGGGGGGGGGGGCAGGGGTCAATGATAATATTGCAAATTTCGTGGGTCAACGAGAAAAATATTGTAGATATACTG